TTAAATCAGTAAACAAAATTTTATCACAATATTTCAACATTCGCATAGATAATTATTCAGATGTATTTAATTCTTGATTCAAGATTCTTCAAGAGAATTAAGATATATCGGTTTAAATTTAAATTTGTATAAAATTATTAACATTGAAATCCAATTGGAATCGAAATGTTAGAATATAACTTTGTTTAATGTTTTTAATAAATTAGCATTTAAACTTTACTTAGCTCGTAGTCTTATTTTCATTATTATTTTTTAATTATTTAAGTATTGAAGCTTTTCTTAGTTTAATTATTAATAAATGTGTTCTTTAAAAATTAATTACACGTTTATCTGTTTTATTTAACAGACAAGCTTTCGAGAATATTTATCAAATGCTAAAACCTAATGCAACTATGCTTGTGTATGTAATAGCATCTCATGATTTTTTTGAAGTTCTCAAATTTTTGGAACAAGACAGCCGCTTTGCACAATACATACCTGTAAATTATAATATACATATTAAATTATTAATCAATATATTATTAAATTATAATTATTATTTGATTTACATTTTTACTATTTTTGTATGTTTTATTACTTAGTAACTTTTAAATTATAAATTGTTAATAATTACTTTTCATGCAGAATTCAATGAAAAATATTTCACCGTATCAAGAGTCAAAAAATGCTCGCAAAGAGTTACGGGAATTACTTCAAAGTATCGGATTTACAGTTCATCATTGCAGTCTTCGAGAGGCAATATATTCCGACGAAAAACCGATGGTACAGCAGTTTTTGAGTACGTTATTTTATAAAAATATGCAAAAAGTATCTTTATGTTGTCATATTAATAGTTCTTTAAGGAATTTTTTTTATATAATTTTATTTATGTATATTGTAATTTAACATTGATGACTAATTTTATACTTATAAATATACAGAGTGTATCTGAAATAATGCCTATTAATCATATAATACTACTCCTAAGAAAAAACTGCATCGAACAGTCTTCTACCATTTTGCAATTTTCACAATAGTTAACAAGATATTAATTTCTACAGATTGCCGAAAGATATCTTAAAATTGTTTTATACATCGCACCACGCGGCGCGATGTATAAAACAATTTTAAGATATCTTTCAGTATTCTTTGTAAAACATTTTGAAGATGCAAAGTTTAAATTACAATATAAGGCTTCACAGATAAATTCAATAATGATAATGTAAGGAAATGCCTACTAGATATTCGTATGTAATAACCACGGTAGAGTCGCTGCGCGTAGCTTAGTGTCGAGACACTAATGTGTCCAGATATATTAAAAAAACAAAGAAAATGGTTTAAACCTACAAAATGATACGGATTTATTAAACTTCTTGTATTGAATTAATCAAAAGTTAAAGTTTCCTTGTTTTAAAATTTTAGATATTTATTAGTAATTTTATGTTCATTTTTATTTTTATTTCTATTGATTGCGTTATTGTTATTTTGCATTTTGACCTCGCACTCGATATTGATATTTCTCTTTGCAATCATCGTTTTTGTAACAGACTAACATTAATCTGGTTTAATGTAAGTTTCTAGAGAATTTGACTTATATAATTTTACATTTTAATCATACATTTTCTGATTCAATTTTACTGAAGTACATCTAACAGTTTGTATATCCGACAAAATATAACAGACAACATAGAAGTTTTCAATTATTGACAACAGATTTAATGATGATTTGATGACTTGGCGAGAAAACACAATATTTTATATTTCTATGGATGGCTATTAACATTTTTACATTGAAAAGAACCCACTAGGGTCAAAATATCTGTATTAAAAATTTTAATATATGTATCATTGTATACGAATATTTGGCTCACATAGGTATTTTCTTACATTGTAATTTTAAAGATGTTTTTTAAAAAATTCTTAAAGATATCTTAATGTTATCTTATACGTCGATTTTATACATTTTGTTCATGTATGTATGTATATATATATATATATATGTATATATACATATATGTGTGGAAA